TCAGGAAAACTGGATAAAGTGCAGACAGATTCTCCAGATGATATTTATTAAAACTGCATGTGAATCTACAATTATCTCAAAATTAAAAGTTCAGTTTTTAAAATAGATGGAATAGTAATTTACAGCTTCCAAGCAACAGTAGGTCTGGAATTTGACCATTAGAATTTTGGCATTTGTCTTTAAAATTTTTAAAGATGCACGTTTTGGTTTGGGCAGCCAAAAATAATCACATGAGAGCAAACTTTAACAATCAATAGAGGCACAGGAAAGCAGGTTCCTAATCAATGAGAGAATATTTCATCTACTATCATTAGTATAGTCATCAGGCCTTTCCCAATTCCAGTTATCTTATCAACAGCTCTGAGTCTCAGGCTATACTGGAAGACATATACGCACAACCTTGTAGTACCGTAAGAAATGTATTCATTCGTTGTTTCTGGTTCTTGGGACAGAGCTCCTGAAACCTGTGGAGGTTCCAAAATGATGGGTGTGTCCTTTAAAAGTTACCCAGAAGGAGCCCCTTTTGAGCACACCAGAGTTTGTTCTGTTCAGGTGACTTAGGGAGGGGCCCCCTTTCCCTGTGGGATCTGATGCTATCTTGGTGTAGACGGTGTTAGAACTGAATTAACTTTGTAGGACACCCAGTGGATGTCACTGGGAATTGGAAAATTGCTTTGTGCAGGAAAAAGCCATACATCTGATATCAAAAGTATCGAGAGTAGAGGAGAAAAATAAAGCTTTCGCTTACAATTCTTCTTTTAGAAGATTCAATTTATTAACAGCCAGATTTATCCCCAAAACAATGGGGATACCAAAAGATGTTTTCCTTTCAAAGGATCTCTCTGTAGCATGTTTCTGCAGCACATTTTCAAGAATTTTTTTTATTAAAACTCTAAAACTACACTTACCCCTCCTTTTTCAGAATGTCATCTGCTTAAGCCATGTGCAGCACTCCCATGGAACCAAGTAACTCCTCTCCAATTGCACAGGGGAAGACAGTGAGGCTTAGTCAGATGACCTCTTCAACTTGGGTAGTGGGAGGCCTGTGTCCTAACAAACTGCTAAAGCAGCGCTCCTTCCAAGTTCACCTTGCTGTGTTCCACTCTGAGCAAACAATTACATTCTTATGTAATTATTTCCATTTGGATCTCACCTTACATAGAACTTGTTAACTCAATCTAACCCTCCGAGACACCGTCATGAAATCCAGAGAGAGCCAGAGGCACTTCAGACAGCTGCTTTCTAACATGATGAAGAACATCCAAGTCCACAGTTAGGTGGGAAAACAGGCCCTGCAGGCCAGAGCTGGCTGCAGTCTCTTTCCAGCTCTGTCACTCGGTGGATGTTCAGCTTCACCAGCTTTCTTACTTATGTCTTGGCTGCCTTACATTCAGTGAAAAACAACAAAAAAATACTTATTTTCTCACTGACAAGAGTAGACTGAGACAACATAATTGTTCAAGTTCCTCACAAGTCAAGTAAAAACTACACATGTGGCTGTAAAATTAAAACTCATTCCAGGATCATCTTTCTTTGGGATTCAAATTCTTCTCATTATAGACAATCGCTCTGTGTTGGAAGGAGGCAGTTTTATTTAAGAAATTAACTTATTTGCCTGAAGTCACAGAGTTTGACCTGTGTCTCATCCCCTTCTAAATCCTCGTGTAGTTTTCTAGGTACCACATGCTGCTATTCCCAACCATTAGGGATATGGGGAAAAGAAAAGGCTTAATATTCAGAACTAAGTCCAACAGGCCAGGGTTTTTCAACATCATCTCTACTGGCACTTTGAATAGAATAATTCTTTGTGTGGGGAGCTGTCTGGTGCATTATAGAATGTTTGGTGTCATCCTTGGGCTTGACCCCCTAGATGCCAGGAGCAGGCTCCTAGTTTGTGACAACTAAAAATGTCTCCAAATGTTGTCAAATGTCCCCTGGGGAACAAAAGTGCCTCTGGTTGAAAACCACTACATAGTACATATAACACACAAATATTTGGAAGCCATCACCCAAAAGGAAACCTGTAGACTGAAAAGATAAGACAAAGAAAAGGAATAATTCTCTTTATATATTTGAAAAGTTTCCACATAGAAAGTAGGAACAGATTTCAGATGCTAAAGGGCAGAACTATATATACCCAAAGAAGTTGCATAGTAATAAAACAACAAGCTAACAGTCATTCTTCCTACATGCCAGACACTGTTCAGTGTACTTTGAAATATTGTTTCATTTAATACTCAAAATGACTCTGTGAAGTCAGTAGTACTGGCCTCACTTTACAGATGAAAAAACTGAGGCTCAGATATGTTGCTCAATGTTAAAGAGCTAATAGCAAAGCAGAACCAGAACTCAATCAAGGTCTAACTCTGAGCCCAGGCTCTTAGCCACCAAGCTACTAAGACCTTGACAAATTAAGGACTTCACCTCAAAATAATAAAGAAAATAACTTTTAGCTTAAAAGCTGTTTCTTTCACCAACAATGAATCCTGCAGTCACTATCTCAATCCTATCTGTCCAGATCAGAAGCAGATCCATAAAAACCTTCCTTCATTTTTCCCTGTGGAACTCTCTGCTCTAATTCTGCTGAGTCCCTCTAAAACATTCAGCTCTTCTTAACAGCAAGTTATTCAAGCTACTCCTTCAAGCTCTTCCTTCTTAGAAAACTACTTGAGAGTGAGGCAACCAGCTTCTCACCTTTATATCCCCACAAAGCCTTGCACATACTCGAGACCTTTAAGGGGCTCAATAAACCTTTTCTGAATGACTGCCCCTGAAGCAGAAAGCCTTTGCCACCATCCTCCAAAGCCCACACCAGGAGGGATGTTGAAGCAAGCACCTTCAAGAGATGTGAATTCTTACACTTGAGCTGAAGACTTTACTGAATATGCACTGAGTTTTTTCCAACTCTCTGAATCTGAGTCAGGGATAGTCAGAAAGGAATAGAAGATGCCTGACAAGGCCCACTGGCTGCATCTCATCTAGCTACTAAGGACTCGCTTAACTGTGACTATGTATCATGTGTCAGAGGTGTATGTATTTATGTGCATGTGTGCATGTATATATGCATATATCATACATGCATGTATACATGTATATTTATGAATGCACGCCTATATGCATATCTCAGTTCCCTCTATAAGAAATTAAACAAACATCAATAAGATTTCTGAGGCCTTGAAGCCAGCACAAAGAGATTTAAATTAGGCACCTCATTTTTCCCCTGGTATATTAATAAGGTAAGACAAATAATGTTCTACACAGTGTTTACCATAAAATAACAGCATATCTGCCAACAAGTACTACCTCCTCCAGGTACCAGGGTCTGGCATCCTTTCAGACAAGTGCCAAGTGGCAAAGTCCTGTTGCAAGTAATAGAAATAGGAGTTTGCATCTGTGGCATTGAAGAGATGCCCACAGTGGAAGGGGGAGAGAGGGATGATGCATACTTTGAACATTAAATATTAGTTTGGAGGACACCTGTCAGGAGACAAACACTAAATTGTACTGATTTCCCTGAGAAATCTCAGGTCTCCAGACTAAACCACGTTTATTCCTCTAGAGAGAAAGAAAAAAAAAAAAGCTATGTTCAGCGTTCATAGAAAAAGCCTGTCTTCTTACCATATCCAGTTAGTGCAAGTTCTCTAGGCTCACCTGGAGTGAGGGAGAGCTGGCTGCAAATGCCACAGAGTAGAGCCATCAAGCAACTGCTCTGCCCAAGCGGACTCAAAATAATAGCAAGAGATGTTGAGGGGAAGAGCATCTGGCATAAACCTCTCTAGAGGTCCCTCCTTAGCTTCCCCAGTGTTTCTGCCCAGTAGAACAAGGACCAGAATCAGGTACCAACAGAAGTCCTTCCTGGTCACCAGATTCCTCACCACAGTATGGAGGAGCTTTTGGTTCTTTCCTTCCTAACCTTCTATCCCCATCAATGACATGGCATTTTCCCCTTATGTGCAACCAATCACCACTGAAAAGAGGCAGAAATCTAACTGTCCAGAAAATACATTCAGATGATGAAATGGACTGGCCGCCTACTGCAATGAGCCAGTGCAAAATTAAACATTTCCACACAACCAAGAAAGCTTCCAGGACCAACCACAAACCCTCTCCCCTTCAATTTGCAGATAGGTTTTTCCTTTTTTTCTTTAACTGGGTCTCCCAATTTGAGATAACCATACAGGAGCTTTAAATGCATATGTCTTATTCCAGGGGACCAGTTAAAAATCGGCACCATTTAACTCGATATGGGTTTAAATGGGGCCTATTTTTAATCTATCCATCTTTGTAGGGCAAAAGGGGGCTTGGAAACCTGTAGTTTAGCGCTTGTCACCAACCCTCTACTAAAGTCAAGGCAATTAGGCCCATAACTGTAAAAATTTTTCTCAAAGCTCCTGTCCTACGCATTTCAATCACAGTCACTGCTGAACAACAAACAATTTTTAAATATTATTTAATCCACACCCAAGGAGAAAGGTTTGAGAGCAGCCAAGAAATCATGGCGACAGGGACAGGCTGTGTCTACGGGGGCAGCTGTTTCTGAGACCTGTTTTGGGGCAGGGCACGGAACCAACCAGTGGTACTTTTCTCTCCAAATCTTCTCCATCTTTACATCTGTCCATTCAACACATTTAGGTCCAACAAACTGTTTTTCTCCTTTGAGCGGTTTATGGGGAGGGCAAGAGGGGCTGAAAGAAAACGAGGGGGCGACACCTGGGATATACTGCAACACGCAACACTGGAAAACGTGCAGCTGTTTACTACCAGCGTCCCGGAGACGCCGAGCGCTACGCGCAGCTGAGCACACCCCCCCCACCCCCGGGGCCGGACCCCGTCTCCCTCCAGCTTCGCGCGCGTTCAGAGGTGGGGGCCACAGGCCTCTCTCCCTCCCCAACGCTCCGCGGAATGAGGACGCTCCCCGCGCGCCAGCCCCCGGGGCAGCAGTTCCGTCTCCCCTCGGACCCCACCACCCCGCGCGCCGCGCACAGCCCGCCGCGAGTTACCTCGAAGGCCAGGGTTGTCGTCTCTGGCCCGAATCTTTCGCATTTTGACAGGCCGTCCGCTCAGGGTGGACAGGACGAGACGTTGGCGCAAGAAGTTGCAGCCCGTGTAGCTGAGGGAGTGCGCCTGGGTCGCCATGTGCGCGCGCTCCGCAAAGGCGCGGGACACCGGGACACGGCGACTTCGAACGGGCGTAAGGGTCGCGACCCGAGCAGCGGAGGCGACAGTGGCGGTGGCCCCCCCAAGTTCCCTCCCTCAGCCCCGCAGCCCCCGGCGCGTCCACGTGGTTTAGAACAGGAAGACGGAGAGACGAGACACCGGGTCAGAGGGGAGCGGGGCGGAGCCGGTGGCCACCTCCCCGCCTCCGCGCCCAGCTTGGGGCGGCCCCCGCGCGTGGCCACGCCGCTATTGGCCCGCACAGGAACAGGGCGGTGCCCTGCCGCGCTGCCATTGGGCCGCGTTGGGGCTGGGCGGTGTCTGGGCCACGCCGCCATTGGGCCGCTCTTGAGCTGGGTGGTGCGCGGGCCCCGGCAACAGCGCGCCACGGGAGGGAGCGCCTTGTGGGGCACCCTGCGAGCCAAGGCTCTGCAGCCTGTCTCCTCCAGCATCTTCGTGGGGTCGCTCCCGGCGTGGGGGCAAGGGGAGGCGACGAGCTGGTTCTGGGTCCTACTACTTATTCGCTATTTAACCTCACTACTTAAGGCAACCCCTGAGATCTGGATGGTATTATCTCCCCCTCCTTTTTCTTGTTGAAAGACAAAACGGGATTGGCGCGCTTATCCTGTTGCAGACACCGTGCTGAGAGCGCTGCTGGCGCTATCCCCTCGCTCCCCACTTGTAACCCTTGGAGGTACTGGCATACCCGCCTTACACATTGGGAAAGACTCCAGGATCATTGCAAAGCTGGAGGTGGCACCCTGCACTAGAACCCGAGTCTTCCGAGATACCAAGCCATTGCTTATGTTATGAGACGCCAAGCTTTGCCTCTTTCACATCCTTCTCTTCATTTACATTCACCGCGCTTCATGCCAAGTCAGGTTTTCCCTTCTGACATGTTTCAAAATGGGGAGTTGTAATAACTTTAGGCACATACTGTTTTTCTTTATTTCCTGTCCTCTTACAATCCTGCACACCAAAATCTTCCTAAAGATTGGATTATGTCACTCTGCTCAAAAACATGCAAAGATGTTAACTATCAAATGACTACAAACTCAGGAGTTTAATATCATCAGTAATAACATGGATTTGCAGCCGTTCTTGGACAACTTCACCAGATTATGAACACATTGCTGAGGTTAAGGGGTTCTGGAAGGGATGGAGCTTGTAGTATGATTAAGGAAGGTAACTAGCCTTATGTAGGTAAGAGTTATGAGGAACCAAGAGGGGAGATCTGAGCTCCTATAGGGTAGCAGGTTATAGAGGTGTAGGTAGAATGGGCCCTGAAATCCATTCAGAGAGGTGAGTAATCCATGTATATTACTGCCATTCCTTGAGACTGCCTTCTAGGAAGCTGGCAGTGGTGATACGGGGAGTGTTGAAAGCTCCAGAATCTCTGAGGGCCTCCCATGAATCCCACCAAGGGGAATGCCAAAGCAAAGAGAGAAGCCACTGCACCAGGAGTAGATTTTTGTATATCATCTTACTTTAATTACTCAACCACTTTGAAAAACAACTACTATCCTCTGTAGCAAACCCTGCCAGTGCCCTGCTCATATCCCTTCTATTTTCAGTGCAAACCTGTTTAATTTTTCTCCAATAGCACCTATATCTCTTTGTCTAAGTGTTTCTCCTGCCTTCATGGAACTCAGAAGGCCAAAGGTGCTGGGAATTAATGTCCCCCAGAGTCCTCAACCAATGACGGATGGGACTTGATGTGTATATACCCCAGCTCCCTCAACCCTTGGTTGAGATAGGTCTGAGACATAGACTCTACATTGTTTCTAGGGCTCCCCAGAGGTTTTAAGCTCTAGTTGCCTAACTTGCTTGATTAAGTACTTTTAAAGGCTTCCTTACCTCCTGTTTCCTTCCCAGTTCCATTTTGATAGATCCTGGGATTAACTCCCAAACAAGCTATTTTCACTAAAATTATTGCTTCAGGCTATTCTGAACAACCCCAAAATAAGTCCTAATTTTTAAAATTCAGTAACTGAGATTCAGAGAGAATAAATGACCTATTTAAATATTATGAACACATTGCTGAGGTTAAGGGGTTCTGGAAGGGATGGAGCTTGTAGTATGATTAAGGAAGGTAACTAGCCTTATGTAGGTAAGAGTTATGAGGAACCAAGAGGGGAGATCTGAGCTCCTATAGGGTAGCAGGTTATAGAGGTGTAGGTAGAATGGGCCCTGAAATCCATTCAGAGAGGTGAGTAATCCATGTATATTACTGCCATTCCTTGAGACTGCCTTCTAGGAAGCTGGCAGTGGTGATACGGGGAGTGTTGAAAGCTCCAGAATCTCTGAGGGCCTCCCATGAATCCCACCAAGGGGAATGCCAAAGCAAAGAGAGAAGCCACTGCACCAGGAGTAGATTTTTGTATATCATCTTACTTTAATTACTCAACCACTTTGAAAAACAACTACTATCCTCTGTAGCAAACCCTGCCAGTGCCCTGCTCATATCCCTTCTATTTTCAGTGCAAACCTGTTTAATTTTTCTCCAATAGCACCTATATCTCTTTGTCTAAGTGTTTCTCCTGCCTTCATGGAACTCAGAAGGCCAAAGGTGCTGGGAATTAATGTCCCCCAGAGTCCTCAACCAATGACGGATGGGACTTGATGTGTATATACCCCAGCTCCCTCAACCCTTGGTTGAGATAGGTCTGAGACATAGACTCTACATTGTTTCTAGGGCTCCCCAGAGGTTTTAAGCTCTAGTTGCCTAACTTGCTTGATTAAGTACTTTTAAAGGCTTCCTTACCTCCTGTTTCCTTCCCAGTTCCATTTTGATAGATCCTGGGATTAACTCCCAAACAAGCTATTTTCACTAAAATTATTGCTTCAGGCTATTCTGAACAACCCCAAAATAAGTCCTAATTTTTAAAATTCAGTAACTGAGATTCAGAGAGAATAAATGACCTATTTAAAGTAGTTAATAAATGGCAGAACCTGAATAGAAACTCCATCTGCCTCTCCCCCTCTCTTTCTCTTCTCTCTCAGGTCATATATCTTTGGAACCCTGAACCACCAATAAGTCTGGGTATAATGAAGCTGCCATGCCAGACAGACATGACCGTGAGCAAGTCTTCAGATGATTCCAGTCCCAGCCAGCCTCCGACCAGTCTGGAGACTCCCTAGCTTACACCATATGGAGCACAGATGAGCTGTCCTCACTGAGCCTGGCCCAAATTGCATATTCCTGAGCTAAATGAAATGACTGTTAGTATTTTAAGCTATGGGTTTGGAGGTTGTTTGTTATATAGTAATAGATGACAAAGCTACATATCCCTGAATCCGCTTCTCTATATAAGTCTGGGCCAGCATGCCATAAGAAAAATCTTGTATGAGACTTGGAAGGCAAAAGGGAAGTCACAGCCACATTTTTTATGTATGAAAGGTCACTTCAGGGCAGCTCACATATTTATCTTCTGCTGACCTTATTGGCATGTGGCAGCAGCCAGGCCCAAACCTCCTCCTGCTCCCACCTGATCCAACTTTAGGAACTCCAGCTGCCGGGTCAGCTGTGCATTTACTTCCACCATGAAGGACACAGCCTTCTGTGGGTCACTCACATCACTGAAGCTGGAGAATTGGAGGCAGTAAGAAATGGATGCAGCTTCTAGCATATCCTGCTGATTTGGGGCTCTACCACCAGGCACAAAGAAACAGCCTCACACAGACTATGAAACCAGCTCCAACATTTGCATAAGGTCAAATCCCTATAGTAAACCCCTAGTGGTTCTGCTTTTTTGATTGAATCCTGACTGGTGCACAAGCCATTACTGAAAGTAAGGCTCTATGCTAACGGCTTTACATACCTGATCGTATTTGGTCCTCTACCTCAAAACTAGCCAAAAGTTGGACTATAAGTACATAGGAGTTTGATACAATTCTTTCTACTTTTGTTTGCATTTGAAATTGCCGATTACAAATTTGTTAATCTGCTCATGAATTCTTCTTTTATACTAAATGATAAATGACATATGCCTTGCCTTCAAGTCACTTCCACAAATACTTCCATTTTAATAAGGATAAAAGTGTACTTGGCCAGCAGTGGGGCATTGGATTTGGGGACCATGGTAGGAGTGGATTCTTCCCAGTCCATAGAGAAAGTTGCCCACACTTCTACCCACACTGCTATCTCATCGTCACCTTTGTTCAAACCATAAGGTCCTATGGAATTTTTCTCACTTCAGCCTGGAACTGATGCTTTTACTGCAGAAGTTTTAGGATGAATTTTGTATCCAGTGCTCTTCCTCTGGGCTCTCAAAATAACTACTCACAACTACATTTTTGCATGCATATTCTCTTATAACCTACTTATGTGGCAGCCTTTCTAATAACATCTTGCGATCCAGTAAGTACAAGAACTGTGTCATACCACTTAGAGCAGAAATAGTGTCTTATCATTGTATCCACCAGTGCTTAGCACCTAATAGAAGTTCAATAAGTGTGACTAGAATTAATTACTGAATCAATTAATTACAAGACTTATTGGCTAGCCTAAGTCAATAAACTCAAAACTGGTTCTCAAACTTTAGTATGCATCAAAATTGCCTGGAGGGCTTGTAAAAACAGATTTCTGGGACTCATCCCCACAGTTTTTTCAGTATATTTTAGGTAGGATCTAAGAATTTAACATTTCTAGCAACTTCAAGGTGGTGTTTATACTTCTGGCTTAAGGACCATACTTTGAGAAGCTTTAAAAATAAAAAATTACATATGGGATGCTTTCAAGTGTATCAACACATGCATAATGGAAGTTCCAGAAAGAGCAGACAAAGAAAGAGGCAGAAAGGATATCTGAAGAAAATGTGAGCAAAAATCCCCAAATTTGATGAAATGCATAAACCTACACATCCAAGTTGTTAGAGTAACTACTTAAAAGTTGAGTTTCCAGGTGAGAACCCAGTCCTGACTGACACCTTGATTCTAACCTTGTAAGGCCCTGAAGCACAGAACCCAGCTAAGCCATGCCTGACCTCACCCACAGAAACTTTGAGATAGTTAGTATATGTTCAAGCCACTAAGTTTGTGGTCATTTGTTACACAGCTATGGAAAATAATACACTGAATTTCAAACCCAGCTCTTTCTGGTTTCCAAAGTCTATGCTCCTTCTTCTATACCTTATTAGCTAAATGTATT